ATATTTCTCCGTGAAGTTTATATTTCTGTACTGGAAATAACAGTGTGAAGCCAGCAGAAATTAAAATAATCGACTTTGAACCCGCTTGCATGGAGGGCCGGACCGTTTATTCCTACATTCAGGTTTCCATCCATTGTAACCCCCAGACCCGGTCTGTAAGTTAGACCAAAACATAAGTGGTCACATGTCCCATTCAGAAGTTTTTTTTTTTCTTAACAACTTATAGAACATTAAATATAATATAGAATAAAATATTAATAATACAGATATATATCCAAAACGATAGCAAATACATGTCACCAAATATAACCGAAAAACATATAGAGATATATGTTCGTACAAAATAAGTAGTTGATCTCTTCTGATGCCAAATCTGCTAGCTTACGGTCTGCTGTTATCTGAAAAAGGTAAAAACTACAGAATGAGCTAAAAAGCTCAGTGTGCTCCATACAATGTATAAAAACATATTAACAAAATATTTTAATAAAATTTGTTTATGCAACATGTTTTGAAAACATGAACACTACCCCCATCCTTTCACAATTTGTTTGTGTAGGTTCCCCAGAACCATACACCCCGCACAACCGGTAAGGCCCTGAGCACACAGCCGAGGAGCCTGCAGATAATCTTCCTCCAATAATATTCCCCCCAATGATAGTAATGAATATGAATGTATTCGCGTAAAACGATGAATAATTCTTTAAAAACATAAGAATGTTTCAAGCTTGAAAACCATAAACAGAAATACAGAAATCAAAAATCAAATCAGTAATGTATGGTAATTCAGATGTTAGGTAATCAGTATTCAGAAAACGGTATAAAATACCGTAACCAGAAATCATATCAGAAATATGCAGTAAATCAGAAATCAGATACACAGTATTCAGATATTTATATACTTTAAAACAATAATATAACACTATCAGGAAACACACCTGTAACAGTCTGAGAAATCAGATAGGGAAGTCTATTACTGGTTTTGTCGATCACGCTCTGCTGCAGCGCTAGATCCTACGAATTGAAAAAAATCCATATTGGAATCCTAATATAAATAATCTTAATCTTTATTTAAATAATATACGGAAACCTACGGGTAAGTCTAGTAGTACGTGGTTCGGCTGATCTGACGAACGAACAATTCCGGACCTAACTGATATTCTCTCAGTTGAAACACCAGTACCTTCATACAATATTTTATTGAATCAATTCCATAACCAAAACTCAATTAAATAATCAAAATATTAAAATACTAAGCCTTTCTGGGTTCACATGCTCGATTTGGAAATTTCGGGTCAGAATTTGGCAAAACGGACTTCGGAATCAGATTCAGGACGTCGAAAAACATAAAGTATGACCTTCCAGATATTTAAATTCTTGGTCAAAGTCAAAGGGTTTGACTGACAATTTGGAGAGTTTCATGTTCGAATTTGGTGAAACGGACTTCAGATTCGGATTTGGAACGTCGAAAAATGTCAAGATAGGTATACTCGGTCAAAATCAAAGGTCATTTAATGCCCGGTCAAAGTTCTGGTCAAAGGAGGTCAACGGTTAACGGCCAACGGGTCGGGTTGGGTCGGGTCGAACCGGTTCGGACCTGTCAACCCGATTCAGACTGGTCAAACTGGTTTCAAGCTGCTGTCGAAGCTTCCCCACGTGCAGTGACAGCGTGTGGGGGCGCGTGTGACGTACAACGGTGTCCTATAATTCACGAAAAATTTCCTAAAAATTATTTTGAGCGATTTCAAGATACTTACAAAGCTCGGTTCAAATTTTTGAACGGCGGAGAGCTCGATTTCAACGAATCGGAAACTTTGACCGCTTCACCTCCCCACACACCGCCGTCTACGGAGACCGATGATGATACCGACGGACTCGGAACGGCACAAGGAACACGATGGTGCAGGAGGTGTCGTAAACGGAGCAACGATCGGCGATGAATTTAAGATTTTCTCGGCAATTGTGCTAAAAAAACGTCGAGACTTTGACTTGAAATTCCCGGCATTTGGCAGCATTTCACCTCAATTAATTTAAGGGAATTGTTACTGACTCGATAACGAACACGATGGTGGTTTCAAAACGACGATCGGAATTCGGACGGCGTCGGGATCGTTGTCGGAAGTTGACGTTGGGGGAAGGGAATTTAGGAGATTACCGTATACAATACTAAACCTCACCAATTTTTCATGGGTAAATTCAGAGCTTGGTCCCTCAATTTTCTTTAACTCTAAAATAAGCTGTAGACATCACTTTCCAATTGTCTTTTGACTTGCTCCTCTTTTATTCTGTATAGATTTTACGTGGACTTGCTTTATTAAAAGATGCTGGAATAATTCATTGTGATCTAAAACCAGAAAATATTCTTCTGTGTACGAGGTGAGTTACTTTTTCAGTGTTGGTATGGATTACAAACTTATAATAGAATTTTCATATTTCTCCGTGAAGTTTATATTTCTGTACTGGAAATAACAGTGTGAAGCCAGCAGAAATTAAAATAATCGACTTTGAACCCGCTTGCATGGAGGGCCGGACCGTTTATTCCTACATTCAGGTTTCCATCCATTGTAACCCCCAGACCCGGTCTGTAAGTTAGACCCAAACATAAGTGGTCACATGTCCCATTCAGAAGTTTTTTTTTTCTTAACAACTTATAGAACATTAAATATAATATAGAATAAAATATTAATAATACAGATATATATCCAAAACGATAGCAAATATATGTCACCAAATATAACCGAAAAACATATAGAGATATATGTTCGTACAAAATAAGTAGTTGATCTCTTCTGATGCCAAATCTGCTAGCTTACGGTCTGCTGTTATCTGAAAAAGGTAAAAACTACAGAATGAGCTAAAAAGCTCAGTGTGCTCCATACAATGTATAAAAACATATTAACAAAATATTTTAATAAAATTTGTTTATGCAACATGTTTTGAAAACATGAACACTACCCCCACCCTTTCACAATTTGTTTGTGTAGGTTCCCCAGAACCATACACCCCGCACAACCGGTAAGACCCTGAGCACACAGCCGAGGAGCCTGCAGATAATCTTCCTCCAATAATATTCCCCCCATTGATAGTAATGAATATGAATGTATTCGCGTAAAACGATGAATAATTCTTTAAAAACATAAGAATGTTTCAAGCTTGAAAACCATAAACAGAAATACAGAAATCAAAAATCAAATCAGTAATGTATGGTAATTCAGATGTTAGGTAATCAGTATTCAGAAAACGGTATAAAATACCGTAACCAGAAATCATATCAGAAATATGCAGTAAATCAGAAATCAGATACACAGTATTCAGATATTTATATACTTTAAAACAATAATATAACACTATCAGGAAACACACCTGTAACAGTCTGAGAAATCAGATAGGGAAGTCTATTACTGGTTTTGTCGATCACGCTCTGCTGCAGCGCTAGATCCTACGAATTGAAAAAAATCCATATTGGAATCCTAATATAAATAATCTTAATCTTTATTTAAATAATATACGGAAACCTACGGGTAAGTCTAGTAGTACGTGGTTCGGGCTGATCTGACGAACGAACAATTCCGGACCTAACTGATATTCTCTCAGTTGAAACACCAGTACCTTCATACAATATTTTATTGAATCAATTCCATAACCAAAACTCAATTAAATAATCAAAATATTAAAATACTAAGCCTTTCTGGGTTCACATGCTCGATTTGGAAATTTCGGGTCAGAATTTGGCAAAACGGACTTCGGAATCAGATTCAGGACGTCGAAAAACATAAAGTATGACCTTCCAGATATTTAAATTCTTGGTCAAAGTCAAAGGGTTTGACTGACAATTTGGAGAGTTTCATGTTCGAATTTGGTGAAACGGACTTCAGATTCGGATTTGGAACGTCGAAAAATGTCAAGATAGGTATACTCGGTCAAAATCAAAGGTCATTTAATGCCCGGTCAAAGTTCTGGTCAAAGGAGGTCAACGGTTAACGACCAACGGGTCGGGTTGGGTCGGGTCGAACCGGTTCGGACCTGTCAACCCGATTCAGACTGGTCAAACCGATTTCAAGCTGCTGCCGAAGCTTCCCCACGTGCAGTGGCGGCGTGTGGGGGCGCGTGTGACGTACAACGGTGTCCTATAATTCACGAAAAATTTCCTAAAAATTATTTTGAGCGATTTCAAGATACTTACAAAGCTCGGTTCAAATTTTTGAACGGCGGAGAGCTCGATTTCAACGAATCGGAAACTTTGACCGCTTCACCTCCCCACGCGCCGCCGTCTACGGAGACCAATGATGATACCGACGGACTCGGAACGGCACAAGGAACACGATGGTGCAGGAGGTGTCGTAAACGGAGCAACGATCGGCGATGAATTTAAGATTTTCTCGGCAATTGTGCTAAAAAAACGTCGAGACTTTGACTTGAAATTCCTGGCATTTGGCAGCATTTCACCTCAATTAATTTAAGGGAATTGTTACTGACTCGATAACGAACACGATGGTGGTTTCAAAACGACGATCGGAATTCGGACGGCGTCGGGATCGTTGTCGGAAGTTGACGTTGGGAGAAGGGAATTTAGGAGATTACCGTATACAATACTAAACCTCACCAATTTTTCTTGGGTAAATTCAGAGTTTGGTCCCTGAATTTTCTTTAACTCTAAAATAAGCTGTAGACATCACTTTCCAATTGTCTTTTGACTTGCTCCTCTTTTATTCTGTATAGATTTTACGTGGACTTGCTTTATTAAAAGATGCTGGAATAATTCATTGTGATCTAAAACCAGAAAATATTCTTCTGTGTACGAGGTGAGTTACTTTTTCAGTGTTGGTATGGATTACAAACTTATAATAGAATTTTCATATTTCTCCGTGAAGTTTATATTTCTGTACTGGAAATAACAGTGTGAAGCCAGCAGAAATTAAAATAATCGACTTTGAACCCGCTTGCATGGAGGGCCGGACCGTTTATTCCTACATTCAGGTTTCCATCCATTGTAACCCCCAGACCCGGTCTGTAAGTTAGACCAAAACATAAGTGGTCACATGTCTCATTCAGAAATTTTTTTTTTCTTAACAACTTATAGAACATTAAATATAATATAGAATAAAATATTAATAATACAGATATATATCCAAAACGATAGCAAATACATGTCACCAAATATAACCGAAAAACATATAGAGATATATGTTCGTACAAAATAAGTAGTTGATCTCTTCTGATGCCAAATCTGCTAGCTTACGGTCTGCTGTTCTCTGAAAAAGGTAAAAACTACAGAATGAGCTAAAAAGCTCAGTGTGCTCCATACAATGTATAAAAACATATTAACAAAATATTTTAATAAAATTTGTTTATGCAACATGTTTTGAAAACATGAACACTACCCCCACCCTTTCACAATTTGTTTGTGTAGGTTCCCCAGAACCATACACCCCGCACAACCGGTAAGACCCTGAGCACACAGCCGAGGAGCCTGCAGATAATCTTCCTCCAATAATATTCCCCCCAATGATAGTAATGAATATGAATGTATTCGCGTAAAACGATGAATAATTCTTTAAAAACATAAGAATGTTTCAAGCTTGAAAACCATAAACAGGAAATACAGAAATCAAAAATCAAATCAGTAATGTATGGTAATTCAGATGTTAGGTAATCAGTATTCAGAAAACGGTATAAAATACCGTAACCAGAAATCATATCAGAAATATGCAGTAAATCAGAAATCAGATACACAGTATTCAGATATTTATATACTTTAAAACAATAATATAACACTATCAGGAAACACACCTGTAACAGTCTGAGAAATCAGATAGGGAAGTCTATTACTGGTTTTGTCGATCACGCTCTGCTGCAGCGCTAGATCCTACGAATTGAAAAAAATCCATATTGGAATCCTAATATAAATAATCTTAATCTTTATTTAAATAATATACGGAAACTTTCAGGTAAGTCTAGTAGTACGTGGTTCGGGCTGATCTGACGAACGAACAATTCCGAACCTAACTGATATTCTCTCAGTTGAAACACCAGTACCTTCATACAATATTTTATTTAATCAATTCCTTAACCAAAACTCAATTAAATAATCAAAATATTAAAATACTAAGCCTTTCTGGGTTCACATGCTCGATTTGGAAATTTCGGGTCAGAATTTGACAAAACGGACTTCGGAATCAGATTCAGGACGTCGAAAAACATAAAGTATGACCTTCCAGATATTTAAATTCTTGGTCAAAGTCAAAGGGTTTGACTGACAATTTGGAGACTTTCGGGTTCAAATTTGGTAAAACGGACTTCGGATTCGGATTTGGAACATCGAAAAATGTCAGGATAGGTATACTCGGCCAAAATCAAAGGTCGTTTAATGCCCGGTCAAAGTTCTGGTCAAAGGAGGTCAAGGGTCAACGGGTCGGGTCGGGTCGAACCAGTTCGGACCCGTCAAACCGATTTCAAGCTGCTGCCGAAGCTTCCCCACGTGCAGTGGCGGCGTGTGGGGGCGCGTGTGACGTCCTACGGTGTCCTATAATTCACGGTAAAATTTCTAAAAATTATTTTGAGCGATTTCGAGATACTTACAAAGCTTGGTTCAAATTTTTGAACGGCGGAGAGCTCGATTTCAACGAATCGGAAACTTTGACCGCTTCACCTCCCCACGCGCTGCCGTCTACGGAGACCAAGGATGACACCGGCGGACTCGGAACGGCACAAGGAACACGATGGTGCAGGAGGTGTCGTAAACGGAGCAACGATCGGCGATAAATTTAAGATTTTCTCGGCGATTGTGCTAAAAAAAGTCGAGACTTTGACTGGAAATTCCCGGCGTTTAGCAGCGTTTCACGTCAATTAATTTAAGGGAATTGTTCATGACTCGATAACGAACACAATGGTGGTTTCAAAACTTTTCTTGGGTAAATTCAAGGTTTGGCCCCTGAATATTCTTTAACTCTAAAACAAGCTACAAGTTTTAAAATCTTTCAATTTAGTCCCCAAAATTTATCAATTTTCACAATTAAAAACTCAAATTTCAATTAACTATTATTTTGAAATTTCCGGGTTGTTACATCCATAGCTACAACTTGTTATACTGATCATTGTCATCATGTTCAGTATGGTCTTATGCTTGTGTTTTCTTCTTTTCTTCTGCAGAGTCGGTATTATAGGTCTCCCAAAGTTCTTCTTGGGTATCAGTATCCTTTTGATATAGTTTTATAGGCTTATTCTTTTCTATCTCTTCTTCTTGCATACTGCTTCTGTATTTTGGTGGGTCATGGTGTTGTTTCTTTCACTGTAATGTCTCTTCTCATCTTCAATGACTTGCTGAACTCGGACTTTGGTGGAATAAACTTCAGCAGAACTTATTTGGCCTTACCAATCTTCAGGTCCGAAATAATCATCGGAGTTCAGGTTTTATCAAGCAAAGAAGCTGAACCCAACTTGCGCCCTTGGTGCTTAGGTTCATTATTGGTGCTAAAATTGATCTTTACTTCATATGGTTGTGAATTTTTTGAACTTGTTCCCTGCTGATATAACATCGTACTGTTGCAATTTGTGTTTAATGACCACATTAAATAATAAATATTTTATTACTACTGACCATAATGAGATCCTTTTTTCTTTCATCTAACGTATTTACATGATCTGCTATAGGAAGGGCATAACATACAAAATATTAAACCTCAAATAGATTGTTCAAAATGATTTTGGCTCGACTTCCTTTGTTCTTATTTTACACATTGAGTTATTTCATTTATTACTGAGCAACAATACATGAACTGGAAAGGAATGATGTAAAGGTAGGTTTGCATTCATTGTAACATCTCATATCACCTTTAAGGTATTCAACTCTATCTCCTTGAAGATAATAATCAAAATATAATGTATGGAACTCTATCTAAATCTTGCTGCAATATAACTAAGATCTTTCTATTTCTATAAGATCTCTTTGAAATAATGATATAGAAAAAAATGGTGTTATTTTATCTTCTATTTTCTTTAGCATGTTTCAACCTATATATCTTTTGTACTTATCACAGTATGATTAGTCTTTGGAAGTAATAATGATATAGAAAAAAATGGTCTTATTTCCATGGCTTCTGTCATATGATTATTCTAGTTTTAACCTTGATCCTTGTTCAGATATATGACAGATATAGACATGTGGTCCTTTGGCTGCATAGTTGCCGAACTCTTTTTAGGGCTGCCGTTATTCCCAGGTGCTTCAGAATTTGATCTTCTAAGGCGAATGATTGGAATACTTGGGTATGCCTCCTGCTTTGGTGGTTACATCTTGCTAACAATTACTCTCTACTCTCTATTCAAGGCATCAGTTTCATCTAACAGATTTAGGAATAGCTTTTCTTATGTTGATTAATAAGAGAGTATAATCAAGCAGGTAGGTTTTTGATCTAAATGGAAGAAGTTTACAGAAATTTGTAGTTTTCCTTGATTAAAAAATACCGTACAAGGAATGAGAGCAAAGTTTTGATCTAATATTTCTTAATTGCAAATATGTTTTGAACATTGCAAATTTGAAGTGCCACGTTCCTCTCTTTCTCTGATTCCTTTTATTTAATCTTAAAGTATCATCATGAAAAGCAGATCCCTATGGCCATTCACCTTTTACACTTGCACCATAGCCAATACTTCTGAGGGAGATGTATGTGCTTCATAAGAGATGAGCTAATCTTGCAGTTTAGGATATTCATAACTTTCTCATCAATGTGATTAATTTGACTTGTCATATAAGAGCCTCTGAAGGATGCTCTGGAACTCTGCATCTTGGATTGTATTCTATGAGTCCCCTTTTGGTGGTTCTAAGATTGACTACTTGTGATCACATAAAAAAAATGGTTCATACTATATTTTCTGCTTATTTAACTGACTTTAATACCTGGTTTATGTATATGTCAAAAGTGAAAAGAGGAAGACACATGCATGTGTTGTAGCACTCCCGTTCAGTGATTTGGTGTTATAATTTGATTGGCCTATGAGATCAGTCTAAATAATTAGTTCTTGAACCCTAAAACAAGTAATTGTAAGTACCCCTTGAACACCCTGCACTTAAGTTACATAAGAACTTTGTACAAGAACTTGGTCATCTAGCCGACTTAATTCATTGAAATTCAGAATATTACATGATATTGTGTGTTCCATCTTTAGAATTTTAGAACACTTCCTACTTGATTTTCCTTGAACTATTTTTAATCAGTTGATGTTCATAGTCATTCTGTTATTTTTTTTTCTTTCATTCAGTAAAAGCCATTTGCTGCTTATCGTTTTCTGATTGTTTTCAGTCTCCTGTTTCCAACTTATTTCTCCTTTTCCCAGATAAACATGGTTACAACCAGATAGCTTTAAATTGAAAAGTTTTTTTTTCACTCATTACCTATTCAATTGTATTTTTGCGCTTAATGTGAACACCTTTTTATATATGGTTGTCATTTTGTAGAAGGCAGCCCCCTGATTATGTTTTAAAGGAGACAAAAAATACAAGTTCGTGCATTGGAAGTATCCACAATATAGAGAATGGTGAGATCTCCAGTGGTGGAAGAACTGCTTACCAAGCATTAACAGAGGAAGAATATGAAGCTGTAGGTGTTCATATTTGCTTTTTTGAGGAAAGCTTCTTGAAAAATAGTATAAGAATAGGAATTCTATGCATTTACTTGCCAGTGTAATTTTATTCATCCGATAGTCATTATTGCTTGTCCCTGTTCAGAGGGAGCTAAAGAAACCGTTGATTGGAAAAGAGTATTTCAGTCATAAGAACCTGGAAGCAATTGTTACAAACTATCCTTACAGAAAGAACTTGCCTAAAGAAGATATCATTAAAGGTTAGCATCTAAGTTCGTCATTGAATTTACAGCTCGGCATGGTGGGAAAATGTTGTGTTTGACTACCATCTGTTAAGGACCTACTAATGTTTTTTTCATAATGAACCTATCACAGAGAGTCTGTAGTAAAAAACAGAAAGAGATGAAAGACCATAATTTTCATTTAAGTAAAAACCTGCTTAAATACATCACAAATAACTAATAAGTTGAAACTTCTACCCATGTTTCCATGTACTGCCACTAACATAAAACATGGCAACTACTTAGCTAAAAAACAACAACTAAACTTGATTAAGTAAAATGCATAACAAACTCCTAAAAACTAGGATAAGTTGCAGCCACTAGAGACATTTCCAACACTCCTCCTTGAATCAGTAGTTGCAAACTCCTAAAGCTTTTCTCAATGATTCAAACCTGCTCCTTGGAAGAGCCTTAGTAAATATATCAGCCAGCTGGTCATTTGTGCTGCAGTAGAGCAAAGAAACTTCACCATTCTTCTGGACTTCTCTAAGAAAATAAAGTTTAATGTTGAAGTGTCTGGTCTTTCCTTGAAAGATTGGATTATTGGAGATTGCAATGGCAGCTTGGTTATCCACAAACACTTTTGTGCTCCTCCTTTGCTCCAAGCATAAATCATTCAAAATCTTCCTCAACCATAGGGCTTGATTTATAGCTGCTTAGCAGCTATAAACTCCGCTTCAGCCGTGGATTGAGCCATTATAGCTTGCTTCTTTGAACTCCAAGAGAACATTCATGAACCAATCGTGAAACAATATCCTGAAGTGCTTTTCATGTCATCTAAGGATCCTCCCCAATCACTATCAGAGAATCCATGAAAATTGAATTCTTGACCATGTTTGAACAGGACTCCATAGTCAATAGTTCCTTTGACATATCTCAGCAGTCGTTTAGCAGCAATAAAATGTTTTTCACTAGCAGCTTGGGAGAATCTGGCGAGGACACTTACAGCTTGCAAAATGTCAGGTCTTGTTGTTGTGAGATACACTAGACAGCCTATAAGACTCCGATAGACAACCTCTTCAACCTTTTTTGCACCATCTTCTTTGTAAAGTCTCTCTTTTTGATTCATTGGAGTACTTACTGACTTGCAATTCTCCATGTGAAACTTCTTCAAGATCTCTTTAGCATACTTTCTTTGACAAATAAAGACTCCTTGATGATCTTGTCTTACCTCTATTCCAAGAAAGTATGCCATGGTCCCCAAGTCTATCATTTCAAATACTTTCATCATCTCTTCCTTAAAGTTTCGAACCAGCACATCATTATTTCCAGTCACTAAGATATCATCTACATAAACGGAAACGATTAAAATATCAACAGTTGAATGCTTGACATATAGTGTTGGCTCACTTGGACTTTTTCCGAAACCAAGAGAAAGGAGATGCTCATCGATTCTAGCGTACCATGTCCGTAGAGCCTGCATTAAGCCATACAAGGCCTTTTTAAGCAAGTACACCTTATTCTCCTCTCCATCCACCACAAAACCTTCAGACTGTTCAACGTAAATTTCCTCCTGCAAATAGCCATTAAGAAAGGCAAATTTCACATCTAGTTGAAATACCTTCCATCCCTTTTGTGCGGCCAATGCAAGAAGCAATCTGACTGTATCAAGTCGAGCAACAGGAGCAAAAGTCTCTGAAAAATCTACTCCAAACACTTGAGCAAATCCTTTCACCACAAGTCTGGCTTTGTGCTTGTTAATAGAACCATCTGCATTTAACTTGGTTCTAAACACCCACTTTACTCCAATGACCTTCTTGTGACAAGGTCTAGGAACCAACTCCCATGTTTGATTCCCTTCAATCATACGGAGCTCCTCTTGCATTTTTTATATCCATCTTGGATCATCCTTAGCTATATAAAAATCTGTCGGTTCTAAAACACCAACATTACACCTTTCATAGATGTCAGAAAGCAATCTAGTTCCCCTAACTGGAGGATCATCAATATTCTCATCCTCAAATGATTCGGTATTAGGAACTAGATTCACTTCTTCATCTTCCCAATTCCATTGTTGATCTTCAACAAAATGAACATCTCGACTTATTAGAATATTACCAGTTTCGGGCTGGTAGACTCTATAAGCCTTTGAAGCTATGCTATAACCAATAAAAATTCCAAAATTTGCCTTTTTATCCAATTTATCTCATTTCACACTAGGTACATCAGTGAAACAAACACAACCAAAAACTTTAAGATTCTGGATAAAAGGTTTATAACTATACCATGCTTCAAATGGAGTTTTCCCTTGCACTGCCTTCGTAGGAAGCCTATTCAATAGGAACACAGCTGTATTTGCAGCTTCTGCCCAAAACTTCTTCGACAACCATTTCTCATGTAGCATACACCGTACCATCTCCATTACAGTTCTGTTCTTCCTCTCACTCCATTTTGTTGCGGAGTATACGGAGCAATGAGTTGGTGCTCAATTCCAGCATCTTCGCAAAACATATTGAATTGTTCTGAGGTGTATTCCTTGCCGTTATCAGATCTTATAACCTGAATTTTGCAGCCACCTTGATTCTCAACCCAAACTTTAAATTTTCCAAAAAACTCTCTCATGCACAGAGGAGATGAAATAAGACTCGGAGCAAGAGAATTGGGGAAATCAGAGAAAGGGTTAGGGATTTAGAATTGGGAATGGACCTGACATGTTCTACAGCCCACTAAGGATAGGAAACAGCTTGCTTATTTGTGCAGGTTGTTATACTCAGTACAACAAGGACTGTCAGCTGTAGGGTAACTATGGGTACATTGTAACTATATAAAACCATGTACTAGAGGAGGAGAAAGCATGCTTTGATTGAATGAATTCTAAACTTCTTTGAATCTCTTCTTTTCTTTCCTTAATCTTTATTCTCTTAATTATTTGTCTAATTTCCTTCTCTAATCACATAACAATTGGTATTCAGAGCAATCATTTCCTGGCAGCTTGAAGCAAAGAACCAAGGCATGGCAGACTCCATTAATCTTTCTGCGATTCAGAGGCAGCTTGACGATCTCACCAAGATGATAAAGCATACAACGGCTAAATCAACTCCTCCAAAATGGTGGGAAGCACATAATGCTCGCATAACTGATTTGGAGATGAAAATGGACACAACCAGAGATCGGTGAGCAGATCTTCCAGATTCTAGCTAGTACAATGAGTGAGCAAAAACAAAAGCGGAGGGGATGTGGTAATGTATCACAGGTGTTCGACAAAATGCAAGCAAAAGAAGCTGAGCCATTCATCATTGAATCATCCAGCCTCTTTGATGGTCAAGATCCTGCAGAAACAGAAGCTGAGCAAAAAATATGCAATGGAAAACGATATAAAGGCTACTATAATGGATGATGCTTATGGTAAGAACATTTACCCTGTCTATACACTTGAAGAAGCTTGCTTTATGCCCAAAACTAAGCTAGAAAGCACTGAACCACCACTTAAATGTTATGCTGAAACTACAAAGAGTAGCCCCAACAATGGTGTTATGATACTTCACTGCAGAGGGCATAAAATGTTTGAGAAAACATTAGGGGTTCAGCATTGCGTAAACCATAGCAGTGGTGACAAACTTCTCAGTCGTTGTGATGAAAAATTTAGCAAATTGAGTCTAAAGGGGTACGCATCCAATGGTTAAATCAATACCAAAGTCCGAAGTCTTACCTCTACATGAATAGAACAAAAATTTGGGAGGAGTTTAATATGAAATAGAGACCTCTTCAAAATCAAATGAAGTTTCCATAAGAGTTTATACGGAGAACATTCACTTATTATGAGTCCGGATGGAGGATGAACCATTATCAGTTGAAGAATGTTGTTGCTAATGTTAACAAAATCATAGGCCCCGCATTGATCGAAAATGACCTAATCGAACAGACTGTCTTTGACAATTTCATGCTTCAACAACTAGATGAAACTCAAAATGACTGGGGTTGGTGTAAACAAAAGCTTGGCGTAAATGTTATTTTTGTGGTTTCCCTTATTATTTACCAAGTTGGAGCTAAATTCAAGAACATTACTCCTTATAAACACATTACTAACTTTGCTAGTAACCAGAAGTTGATCCTGTCAGTCCCTGCTTTCAATGTCATCAAGGGTGGTTCACATCCAAGAAACAAACTTGCTATGTTGGAGTTCATGATTCTCCCTGTTGGAGCATCATCCTTTAAGGGGGTCAAGAAGAGGGATGTGGAAGTCTACCATCACTTGCAGACTGTTATCGAGAAGAAGTATGGTCAAAATGCAACAAATGTCTGCAATAAGGGTGATTTTGCTGCTCCTAATATTCAGGAAAACAAGGAAGGGCTTGAGTTGTTACGAAATGCCTTTGCTAAAACAGGTTACACATACAAAATTATTATTGGAATGAATGTTGTTGCATCTGAATTTTATGGACCACTTACTAGGAGTGTAAATGAGTCGAGTCGAGCTCAAGTATTACCGAGCTCGACTCGAACTCAAAAACTTTAAATGTAGGCTCGACTCGACTCGAAAACTCGCGAGCCTAAAATTTTCAAGCTCGACTCGAACTCGAAATATAATATTGAAACTCGACTCGAACTGGAAAAGGCTCGAACTCAAAAAAATTCAGGAGCTCGATTGAAGCTCGAGACTCGAGCTCGATTGAAGCTCGATTTTGATCTCGATTCAAGCTCGAACTCAAACTCGAATTTGAGCTCGATTCAAGCTCGAACTCGATTCAAGCTCGAACTCAAACTCGAATTCAAACTCGAACTCAAACTCGAATTTGAACCTACAAAAATCTTATATTACATTTAAAATATATAAATAATTTTCCCTTTAATCAACCATCACGATACATTTTTTTATGATAACATGAACTCATTTCAGAAACTTTATAGGATGCATACAAGAGTAGTTATGGATGTAGAACAGGTTCTAAACACATAAGAATCTTTTAACGTGATGGAATCTGATAACAATTATAAATATTACATACATATGTTTACCAACATATATACATACATAGATATATATGATCTATAATAAATTATACTAAACCTGGGTTTTTTTCGTTAGTCTTCCGGAAGTGGACTACTTTGTTGGGTTACAAACATTTGCTAAATCGGTAACTTCAATTAGGAAAACTTGTCCAGAAAAATCAAAAGATGCAGATCAAGGAGTGCAGATTTTTTCCCTTTACTAAAGAAACACATTGGTTCAGTTTCCACTTTCCAGAAACTATGCAAGTTACAAGCATTTGGTTATGAACATGCATATGCACATGAATGCAGGCTGAGGTGAACAAGAGAGAATGACCTTCGAGACAAGCAAAGCAGCAAGTTGTCTCTGATGCTGGCCAAACTCCTCATCTTCATACAAGCTTTCTCTGAAAAAAGCAAGCATAAGATCAATATACCCACCCAAAACTCATTAAGTACTCTACTTTGAATTAGAATCGCTCCCATTTATAGGCCCACTAACCTATACAAACTATCCATGAAAGAAACAGATCTGGCCATAATAAATTTAAATAAGCTGAAAGCAGATAAGTGAAGATAAACCTAATATCCCCATCCCTATTTCACTCCAATCCCCATTGTTTTTATTCACTGTAAAGTTCAATTTCCTAAGTGAACAAACTATTAACTACATTACAAAATAATTGCTTTTAGTTCTTTCCAATCTGAAACTTATGCAGTACATATAGTTTAACTAAAGTAATCAATTATCACAAGCCAAAAATAGACACAATATAACTGTTGAATCCAAATTTTCACCCTCTTCCAGCCAAATAAAAAATCAAAAACGGAAAAGTTGAACCATGATAAATCTCCAAGAACAAGTAAAACAGCCCAAGCTTACCAAAATTTGAAATTTACCCACTTAACGTAATGAATGTCAAACTAAATTGTCATTTTTCTAGTGTAACTAAATCAAAACATCAAGAATAACTTTCTTCACTTCGTTTCATCCAATTTCCTCACCTACGAATCAGATCAAAACAACCGACACCTAAACCCAAACTAAATAAAAGAAAAATGCCAAAGAAAAAAACTCATGCTTACATGATAGGAACGCTAGTGGAGATCTCAGGCCAAAATTGATCAACGAAACTAATTAAATTAGAAAGTGCGTGATATTTCAACTGAGGATTGCTCTCGTTAAGCATCGCCAATAACCCTCCAGCCGAACTGACACATTTCTATTCTTCCCCGATAGGAGCTTGCCTTTGTCGCCCGGAGTCTTGGGGGAGCGTTTAAGCCACAATAATTGTGGGTTTCTTCTGGGGCTACGAGTGGACGAGGTTTGAGAGGAGAACGGCGAGGGAAAGTTTTAGCCAGGGAAAGTTTGAGGGGAAATGAATTAGGGTAAGAGTTTTTACCCTAGATATTCTACTTTATGTGTTCCTTCAATTTGTGCTTGTTTTTAATTATTTCTTGTAATTTTAATTATTTGACATTATAATCCCTTAGTTGGCTTGTTTAATTTAATGAGTAATTTCTACTTTATATGCCTATTTTCAGTTTTATATTGTTTTGGTCCTTCATGGAATTTTTAAAATATGAGTTTAAGTTATTAATAGTAGGTTTAATCTTATATTGTTTCATCTTAATGTATGTGCATTTGCATTTCATTCATATGCATGCATGTATCGTGTAAGTACATTTTAGTTTAGGTAATAGTTTAGGAGTCACATAATATCATTTTGCATAATTTGTATGTTACCTTCATGTGTATAACTAAAACCCTAAACCATAAACCATAAACACTAAAACCATAAACACTAAATCCTAAACCCTAAAGCATAAACCCTAAAGCATAAACCATAAACCCTATCACATAATTATAAGGGATCTTAGTTGTATTATAGAATTTTTAATATATTTTTAAAATTTTATAATTATCAATAATGTATTTTTAATAATGTAATTTTAAAAAATCTAAAATTATAATATAACATTTTTTTCGAGCTGCTCACGAGCTTTTCGAGTCGAATATCGAGTAGCTCGTTTTGTCTCGTTAAGAAATCGAGTCGAGTCCATTCGATCCGAGTATTTATCGAGCCTTGATCGAGTCGATCTCGAGTAGCTCGCGATCTATCTCATCTCATTTACAGCCCTACCACTTACAATAAAAATCGTTGCAAATAATATTGTGGAATTAGTATACTACACTATTGCTTTCCCGCAAGTTACAGAACTACAGGTCCATATGTGGTCGACGGATGCAAACCAAATGGTAATGGATGAGGACGAAGTCAATAATAGATACCATGTGGCTGGTGCATTTTTACTAAAAGAGGTGGTTATTTGTTGTGAGGAAGAATGTATTAATGCTATTAGTGTTGCGAGGAAAAGATCTAGTGAATTTTAACAAGAAAATGTTGGTGGTTATGTACTTTGGTGGAATCTAAGGGAGACTACCTTGCTTTCTCTTGCCTCTTTTTCTGAGCAATTACTTGAGGCAGAACGAGTTTTTGGACTTACAAAAGTGAGTTTAGGGAATCTTCTCGAACAAGTTATTAATGAAGATTTGGGACTGTGAATATTGATACTGACAATAATGGTTTCAAAGAGCCAAGTGGTTTATCTTTAGAATCCGGGGCAGTAAATCAAATTGTTACCAAGTGGGTGCTTACACTGGCAAGGGCATTGCTCGAGAAAGGTGAGTTTTGTATGCACATTTTTTTCACAAAGACTGAACAAAATGGGATGCACATCATTGTAAGGAAGAAATTGTTTGATCATTGGGGACAAGGATCATTTCAAGGGAAGGGGAATGTCATAACTATATGAGAAGTCAACAAAGAAAGCAGCAGGAATCAGTTACTAAAACAACTTTTGAATCTGAAATTTTTTTAGAAGACTCAAGCAAGGGACAAAATTTACCTGAAGTTTCGGTCTTACCATCAAACCTCACTTGCTCTTCGAAAAGGATTAAGGCTGGCAGCAAGGGTCTATGGTACTGCTATCTATAGTTTTTGGGTGAAAGGTGTTTGGCAACTTGAGTTTTCTGGATGAAGGTGTAATTAACCTCAAGAAGCACAATCAGGCTATCACTCAATTGTTGCTGCAATGGACGAACTTAAGGCCAGAAAACATCACTGGGGAAAACTATATTGTGCTTAAAGCACTAATCCCAAGTTTTGATCCTTGGGGACAAGGATCCTTTCGTGGAGAGGGTATTGTCATGCACAGAGGAGAAGAGATAAGACTCGGAGCAAAAGAATTGGGGAAATCAGAGAAAGTGTTAGGGATTTGGAATTGGAATTGGGAATGGATCTGACATGTTCTACAACCCACTAAGGATAGGAAACAACTTTCTTATTTGTGCAGGTTGTTATACTCAGTACAACAAGGACTGTTAGCTGTAGGGTAACTATGAGTACATTGTAATTATATAAAACCATGTACTAAAGGAGGAGAAAGCATGCTTTGAATGAATGAATTCTAAACTTCTTTGAATCTCTTCTTTTCTCTCCTTAATCTTTATTCTCTTAATTCTTCGTCTAATTTCCTTCTCTAATCACCTAGGATCATAACAAACTCCTGCCACTTCAGACTTGATTTTCAAGAAATAAATCCAACACATTCTACTAAAATCATCAATAAAGAGAATATAATATTTACTTCCCTTTAAAGATAATTCAGGTAGAGCCCCTCCAATATCTGTGTGTATTAGTTGTAGCTTTGTTCTAGCCCTGCTCGTTGCATTAAAAAACGGGAGCCTAGTTTGCTTTCCAAATCTGCATGCTTTACAACTTATTAAGTGATCATCCAGAGGAGGAATTCTTCTTGCAAAATCCTTTCTCCTCATATACAATAGAGCAACGTGGTTGAAATGTCCCATCCTCTTGTACCAAAGCTCAGTTGTAGTAACCGAACTCATCATAGCAACCCGCTCTGTCTCCATCATATTTAAAGAGAAACGTTTTCCCTTCATCTTGACCTTGAACATGTCAGACCCACTTGAATCTTTTATCGAACACATCCTGTCTTCAAACATAACTTTGTAGCCTTTTTCAAGCAGCTAACCCACACTTAACAGTTCTGATTAATTTCAGGAACATAAAGAACATCTTGAATTAACTTAGTACCAAGACTACTTTCAATGACAATACTACATTTACCTTTAATAGCAATGAAATCTCCATTTCCAATTCTGACTTGTGACACAACTGCCTTATTAAGCTATTTGAAAAGCTCAATATCATGTGTCATATGATTGGTGCAGCCTCTATCAATCAACCAACTCTCATTTGCAATGCTAGTTGCAAAACAAGAAGCAACAAATAGTTGATCCTCCTTTTGCTCGACAACCTGAGCCTCACTTTGCTGATATTGCTCTTTGGACTTGCATATCTTTGCAATATACCCCAAGAGTTTGCACTTGTTGCATCTAACATTTCGCCTCCTCCAACATTTGTGAGGTGGGTGACCCTTCTTTCCACAGCGTTGACATGATGGATAGTCTGGCTTATCACTTCCTTCCCCTTGTTGTAAGCTTGATCGTCTGCACTCTTTTTTCCATTTCTCTTCTTCCCCTTATTATTGTGGTTGATGTGCAACTTTGCAACAAGAGCTCCTTCAACAGTGCCTTCAAGTCTCATCAGCCTTATTTGCTCTTGAGCTTGCAAAGCATTTAATAATTCTGCCAACGTAATGCTTGACACATCCTTAGAGTTTTCCAACAAAGAAACTGTGGATTCAAATCTTTCTGGAATAGTAACCAAAATCTTTTGAACAATCCTAGAATCAGAAAACTCTTTGCCAAGCAATCTTACCTGATTTACAATGCTCAGAAGTCTATCGGAGTATTCTTTGATAGTCTTTGATTCCTTCATTCTTTGCATTTCATATTCCCTTATTAGATTCAACACACACATCCCTTTGATCTTCTCATTGCCTTCGTACTCCTTCTTGAGAAAATCCAAGATTTCCTTGGCTGATTTCAAGGTCATAATTATGGTAAAAACTTTTGCAGAAACAGCGTTGAACAAGTAGAACTTAGCCTTTGATTTTCTTTGCCTCTTCTCCTTGTGGTTCTTTATTTGAGCAACCATTGGATTTGTTGGAAGAGGAGTAATTTCATAATCCTCCTCAACAACTTCCCAAAGGTCGTTTGGTTCTAAATAAGACTCCATTTTAATTGCCCAAACTTAGTAGTTTTCACCTTCAAACACTGGAGGTGCTACAGCTGAAAAAGAAATTTCAGATTGCATTTTGTGAATATTATATTTCCTAACAAGTTGGGTTTGATGGTAGTCTCTGTTCAGAGGGAACTAAAGAAACCGTTGATTGGAAAAGAGTATTTCAGTCATAAGAACCTGGAAGCAATTGTTACAAACTATCCTTACAGAAAGAACTTGCCTAAAGAAGATATCATTAAAGGTTAGCATCTAAGTTCGTCATTGAATTTACAGCTCGGCATGGTGGGAAAATGTTGTGTTTGACTACCATCTGTTAAGGACCTACTAATGTTTTTTTCATAATGAACCTATCACAGAGAGTCTGTAATAAAAAACCGAAAGAGATGAAAGACCATAATTTTCATTCAAGTAAAAACCTGCTTAAATACATCACAAATAACTAATAAGTTGAAACTTCTACCCATGTTTCCATATACTGCCACTAACATAAAACATGGTAACTACTTAGATAAAAAACAGCAAATAAACTTGATTAAGTAAAATGTATAACAAACTCCTAAAAACTAGGATAAGTTGCGGCCACTAGAGACATTTCCAACATAGTCAAATACGATTAGCTTTGATTGATTTCTTGAGGGGTTTGGTTGAGTTTGATCCTGCAAAACGGTGGTCACCCCTCCAGGTAGTTAAAGTTTCCCTTGGATGCTTCTTTATCGTTCTATTCCAATTTATATGAAGCAATATTTAGAGATTCAACTGGGTTGTGCAGGCTTCAAAACACCCTTTTGTTACTGTTGGAACCTTTCACTTGCCCGTACAGACCTCCCCCTGAGACACCTCGCTTGGTAAGGGAACTGTGCAAGTAAATGTGCAATTGAAGAAGCTTGAACCTTATGTCATGAATTTATATCAACTATTTGGGTTTTATTTTAATTTTCCAGTACAAATATAGATGTCTAAATCATAAATTTAGTACGACCCAAAAAAAGAAAGAAAGGCAGAGATTGGCTTGAAACCATGCATACGGAGGATTTCCTAGTCCTCTCCTGATTTCCATAGTGATTGCTATTTGTTCTTAGATGATTGGTGATTTATTTATTTTTCTAAACATTGGTATAATCATATGCTATATTATCAGTTTTCTCTTATTATAGAAAGTTGTAATGAAAGTTCGAGGTTGTTGAAAATAATTTCTCACATGAAATCTTATACTGGAGTTCTGTACTTATCTGAAACATGGAAGTAAGCAATGTTTTGATGGAGATTCAATTTCCCTTTTATGGTATTTCTCTTTATGGCATTTCTGCTAGCATGAAATTCTTTTGGCTGTTGTGAAAATTTTGGCTTTATTGATCTTCTCTTGGGTTGAGCTTGTTTTCTGTCAGAGCAGTATGTATTTGTTTGATTGCAAGATTTATTTAAGATAATACTTATCTGTTATTTTCTGGATGAGAAATAAAATAAATGATACACCTAACATCTGGTGGTGGTCGTTTTTTGATAGCCTGTTGCTCTAAAAATAAAGGTGGATCATCACCCTGGTGGAGGACATTGGTTTGCAGCTGGTCTTTCTCCTAATGTAAGCTGATATAGAGTTGAAGCAATATTTTTTAGTATCAGTGTTATACTGATGTATATTTTCCATTGTGTAGATTCCAAACAGGAACAGAGTTTCCTTTCATAATAGCCCACACTTCTCAATGCTGTCATACGGTCATGCTAATAGATATGGCAGTATAGGAAGTCATGGTAGCTACAATGACAATACCGGGCTTGGGAGAAGCTACGGGAGTTTGGAGATAGTAGTAATATGTTTGCATATTATTCACCTGTTGGTCCATCAGCAATGAACATGCATCCACAGAGCAGCGCATCAATGCTTGGAAGTAGCCCTGATGCTAGACGGAGAATTATGACGTACTCTCATGGGAATGGACTTGGTGCGAGTCCATCAGGTGGAAACTTTGCAGCACTTCCCCTTGGCACTAGTCCCTCGCAATTCACTCGCCAAGCTCCTATGGTCAAGTTTCAGGTGGCTCTCCTGGACACTATGGTCCTACTTCTCCCGCAAGAAACAGTTGTCAAGGATCACCTTTAAGTAAGATGGCTGCAGCTGGGCAGTTTAATAGAAGAAAAGGTTGGGGATATTCTGGAAATTCCCAGTCTCAAGAGAATTCATCATCTTCAAATTGGCAATTACAAGTAACTGATGGCACCATTTCTAGCCAGGCTGAGGGAAATCTCAAGTAGTTGGTGGTCTATCCTTGAATGTACAATAAAATTCTAACACAGCCAACCGGAAGCAACAGCGAGGTGGCATTGGAATGGCTACGAGTTACCCCGCTGTTCAGAATATACCGAACTCCATAGGACTTGGTTCTAATGTGCAACTCCAGTATAGCTCAAGAGCAACTCAAGATAAGTCGGAGGCCAGCATGCCATTACCTGATCCTGGAGATTGGGATCCAAATTATAGGTGGCTAAAAAACTTGATTGCAACCAAATTCATACCTATCAAATATTTAAGATATATTTATGTCTTCGCTTTGGTGTATTTGTTATTTTATTTCTGTTAATATAAATATATATAATTGTGTTTTGGACATGGAGACAACCACAACTAATTGTCGTTACAGTTCTTTATCCTCTGGGGTGGCTGGCTCCTGTTAGGTTTGTTGTCCCCCAAAAACCATATGTGCTGCATCAGGAATTGAGAATGCTCATAAACCTGAGAATTATTTCTGTGATTTTTATTCTACTATCTTTTAGCTGCTTATATTGCTTGCATTTGCCGTCACCAGTGATGAACTACTTCTGCAAGAGGAATGCGTATTGGTTCGGCTGACTTTAACAGAGGAATGCATATTGGTTCGGCTGATTCATTTGTTGGAGTTGGAAGATTCAACCCTGCCTTAGCCACAAGCTCAAATTTACCAATTCAAAGGTAATTACTGCAAATCCTTCTTAGTGAATGGCTTATGGAGGTTTAGTCCTTTTGGTTATGCTTTGGGAGAAAGGGGGTGGGGCAATGTTGACATAGGAAACAGATATCCTTTTCCTCAGTTGACTTAGTTGCAATAATCTGTTAAATTAATATTTTATTGCAATATTTTGTTTAGCTTTCAATATCATGTCTTCTTGTGCTTATACCATTTTTTTATTTACTTATTGAAGGTTGTGGTTTGCATTTCTGTTCCGTATAATTGAGCCCAAGATGATTTTGTTCATCATAGAGAATGATATGTACCATAATGTTCAAATATGTCAAACATACAAGAGCAGAGATTTGGTTTTTTGCTGGAATGTTTCTTCACTGTCCTTGACTTCTATATTGTTTGAGTGCAGACAAAATGGTCCTATAGGATTTTCACATGTAGAAATGGGTAGTCCTCCTTCAGCTAATGATTGGCACACTGGATATCCTCGTTTTATTTCAAAGCAATCTCACTTCATGCCACATATGACACAAAATTCTCCGAGCCGGTTGGGGCAGCAAACCCTTCCACGATTCAATCATGGGAGATCCACTGGTCCTCGGGGTAACGAATGGAATCAGATGAAATTACAGCTCCCTCCTCCTGGCTTTAATTCAGGGGGACAACGTTCTCCTGGGAATAGTTCATTAAGTAATGGCATGCCATGGGGTATACTTCCTAACTTTATGCCATCATACTTTTAGTTACCTCCTATTCCTCAGTAATGTCAGTGCTACTTTTATCTACTAACTATGTGAGTATTATTGGATAATTTAGTAAACTGATTCCATTTTACTTGATCCTGGCATTGTTAATGTAGGGCGTAGGGCCGACCATCCTTTCTCAAATATTCCGCCAGCATCTCTTGGAAGAAAGGACTATGAAAGGATTGCATAATGTTGAATCAACTTAATTATGGGATTATGTTTTGGGTGTTTGTCAAAGAAATTTGTACTCAATAGTTCACTTAATTAGTGAGCTCATTATAAGAAAATGCTCATCCAGACCATGCTCATTCATTGTGCTTTGCATAAACATAATTCATGGTGATTGTTTTGCTTGTCTTCCTACATTTTGCTTGCAATTGCTACTTTTTTGGTTATGATCCTTTTTTGGTCCTTGTATTTCCCAAATGCTAGATTTCTAATTTAGTTCTGAAATTGCTTTTTAAACTGTTTGAGGAATCTAACCATGTTATCAAGGTGATCAAAGCACTGGCTGACAAGTTCTCAACAAGTTCAGGTTTGAGACAATATCTTGACTTAGTGTTTAATTAGTGGTAGAGTATATTTATTGTATGGCTGTGATGTTTGAGTTGAAATCCTTTCCTCTTTCAGGTTTACAACCTTGGTGATTGGGGGAACTGAAGATTATCCAAACTACTAGCATCAACCAGATCGCATGATTTTTATTGTTTCTAGATTGTGTTTCTGGCCCTACATTTACAATACAATGTAGCTGGTTTTCTTGTCTTCCGCCACCTCTGTCAGCGACTCGGTTATAGTTCTGGTCTCCGAAAGCCTCTAGACATCACCTTGCTCAACTGCGAGCGTTGCCCATGATCTCCGTCTTTCTATGACGGTATTGAGCGCACCACACTCATTCATTGCAGACTTACAATTTGACTATGGTCATTGTAAAGATATTCTGGGAGAGGATTAAGACTTTGGATAACCCATTCTAGCTTGTTCTTGAGTCGTGGAAATATACCAGTCTTACCACCAAGACTTATCTTATGCTTTCAATCAATTTCCGAGACCATTTCTTGATTATTTTCACCAAAAAAAATTGATATAATGAAAAGGAAATCTTGTATGTTATTGATTGAAGACCGAGAGACATGTTACCAGGGTGGCTGCATGTCTATCGTAGGTTTTCCTTTCTCTCGGTTGAGTAAAAAGTAAATTGGAAGGATAAAAAATTAGAGGTAGAAAGTGGAAACATAAAAAGAATATGTTTCATTTGGGGTCAGTTTCGTTGTTTTACGAAAACCAAATTCTAAAAAAAAAATTTTGTAAAATAAATTATATTTTTTCAAAAATAAAATTTTAAAAATCATTTTATGGTGTTTGGGTGATACATGTAAATCATTTTTAATTGGTTGATAAATTTTTTAGAAATTATTTATTATAAATATCAAGTACAATAGAGAATACTATTTATCATAAAAATAATTAACTTTATTATTTTTAAATTATTTAAATAATTTATTTAATTATTGAAAATAATATAATATTTATTAATAAAAATAATATTTTATTATATTTAAAATATTATAAATATTGTATTTTATTAATAAAAATATCAAATATAAGATTTTTTATTAAAATAAAAGTTTTATAAATTATTTTAATTATTTATTAAAGTAAGAATATTACATTATATTCTAAAAATTATTAATAAATGTAATTTACATTTAATTAATAATATTATAATATAATATTGATAAATAAAATTAATTTTATTAATAATTTATTATATATAATTAAAATAAAAATATAATAGTATATTATATATTATTAAATATATTCTTTTAGTTTTATACAGATTCAAAATCGTTGGATGAGTTAAAATAAATGGTTGAGATTAACAATAGAAATGAGAAGATATTTTATTGGAAAAAGAAAATTAAGTAATTAATCTCAATTATCTATTTTCATTCATATAACGATCCTAAATTTGTAAAGAGTATTACATTTTATTGTGTAAGTGAAATCTAGCCTTTATAATATAATTTAATATATTATTATAATACTATATAATATAATATTATATTATTAATAATATATTTTAATAATTAATATTTTTATTAAAATGGTATTAAAATAGTATATTAATATTAAAATTTTAAAATAATATTATTTTTAATATTTATACTTTGAAGTGAACAAAAAGAGAAGTAACTTGGACAAAAGAAATGAAGTAGCTTAGACAAATCTTTTTTGTCGATAACCTCAGCCCACCCCAAGATGAGTCTCTCCTATTCCAACTTCCCCTGAGCCTCTGGTAGCACAGTCGAGACGGTAAGGGGTTCTCTGTCCCTGCGGAGATCGAGTGACAGAAGTTTTGAGAATACCAATATGTAAATCATTTTTCAAAAAAATGTAAAGAATTCTGTTGACCAATAAAATAAATAATGTTGATTATCTGTTTTTCACCGACCAAATATTGAAAAATAAAGAAAATATTTTTCGAATAACTAATTACAAAAATAGAAACAAACCTTAAATTATTGTGTCACATTTTTTGGAAAACCAATTTAAAAAAACAAATAGACCCTAAATTATTTATTGTGCCAAAAGTTTTACTTTTTTATTCAAACTCTTACCAAATTTTCTAAAAATTAATTTATTCCCTCTTAATAATTTTTCAGTTTCAGCTGATCGATCGAGTGAACACAAACATCCTCAAAACATGTTCAATCATTCGCCTAAAATCAAGAAAACGTTATTTTAACATCTTACATTATTTGATCCCAACAACCTCTTACATGGTTCCAATTTGTTTGCTAAAAACTTAAAAAGCCTAAAAGACAAGCAAGTTCAGTCATTTGTCTAAAATCAACATACAGGAAAATGAAACGTATAGAAACTTCCAAGACTTTGTAGTGTAATTAATTAATTCTATAATAATCCACCGACTGTGACAAAAGAAGAGTACTTGGCATCATTAAGAAGAAAGAGCAGTGGGTTTTCAAGAGGTGTATCCAAGTATAGGGGAGTTGCAAGGTACTTTTGTTTAGAACCTCTAGTTATTATCTATGTAATGTATTCTGAGACAATAGTCTCATCGGATGGATACGCCGGACTTTATTTCTTTATTTGTGGATTATCTTCCAAACTCTATTCACTGGAAAGGTCTGTGGCAGATTGTGGGTCGTTATGGAGAGGTACTGGGGTGTTTATTCCAAAGAAAAGGAGTCGAGCTGGCACTAGGTTTGGTTTCGTTAAAGTTTGTAATATGGCAGAAGCGGTAAAAGTTAGGGATCGCCTGAACGGTATCTGGGTGTATGGTAGTCATATTACTGTGAGTTTAGCCAAGTATATGTTGGAGGTTCCAAGAGTTATAGGTGAGCAAAACATGAAGTCATGGAAACCAAAACTGGGGAGTTCTTCATCTCTTGGTCAACCTCATTGCTCGGAGGCTGGTCATGAGGGAGTTTCCAGAAAGGACGTTATGGGTCATGTTGATGAACTCAAAGTTAGCAAGTTGAGGAGATGTTTGGTGGGAGTAATGGCTGGGGTTTGTAGTGTTGGGAGTATCGCAGATAGATTGCATAACTGGGGCTTAGGGGATATTAAAGTTCAAAGACTTCGTGGTACCTCCTTCCTTCTTTCCATTGAAGATGAACAGTTGTTTTCCATGCTAGAAGACCTCCAGTGGTCTTATTTGAAGGAGATTTTCGTGGAGGTGTATCCTTGGTCTGAGTCGTTTTGTCAAAAAGATAGAGTTGTATGGATTGAAATCGATGGATTACCTTTGCAGTGTTGGAATGCAATCACGTTAAAAAAATTAGCAGGATTGTGGGGTAGATTTGAGGCTTTTGGAGAAAACGTTAATCATCAATTAGATTGTGAAAAAGTTCGTTTGTTGATATCTACTTCGATAGCTACTCGGATTGACGGAGTGGTTTCGAGTTCTTGAGTTAGGAATGAAAGATCAGTTGTTTGTTCATTCGTCCATCCTTAATGATCCTAAGAAATTAGTGATTGCGGATGTAAAGGATGGAGTAGGGTCTGTTCATGAGGTTGTCCCATCGACAAAGCGTTCTGTCGATCCATTGGAGAAATCTTCTTCGTCGAAAAGTTCTGTCGACAAGAATGGGTTTCCCTTTTCCACTGGCGGTGCTCTCGTGGAAGCGTGCATTAGTGACAGTCTTGGAGACTGTTTGAAAGATGTTGTCGTGAAGCCGACTTTGGGTGGTTGTAGAGTCGTAGCAGATAGTGAGCGTGTTGATTTTCAAACTCCTAAACACTCTCTTCACGTGGGGCTTCATAGATTGGATGCTGATGGGGACGTGTTAAAGGGTGAAGGAATTAATATTGGAAAGTTTCTTTTTGAAGAGGCTTCAAGGAAGGAGGTTAGTGGTATGGTTGTAGGGGTTGTTGAAGATTCTTCGAATAGTGGGCTTCCACGAGGGTTGGGCACTTCGGCTGATGAGTTGGTGGTTATTAACAAAGATATTCTCATGCCAGCAGGAAGGAATAGTAAGGAATTACTTGTAGGTCCGGTGTCTTCAAGTGCTAAAGGCACTTCTTTTATTTCGTTGAATGGAAGAAATGAATATGTTGAGCGTGATGTCGTGGAGACGGAGGTCGTTCCATATAGGTCTTTTAGCAAATCTTTTAGGATTAAGAAATTCGGCTCTATGTTGGATATTCAGGGCAAAGTACTCTCAAAAGCTGAGAGGAGAATAAGAGATCGAGTGCTGAAGAGTTTTAACTTGGAGCAGTCGGATCTGCTCTTCTCTAAATTATCTGGTACTTCAATTTCTGACTGTATTAAAACAAAGGTGGGCTGAAGCTTATTTGGAGGCGCAGGAGGCAACATCGTTCGATAAGCAACTTGGATTTCTGTTTGGAAGTCCTGTAAATAAGGGTATATAGGAGTTACTGTCGTTTGAAGGGTGTTGGGGGCAGTTCGATTTCTGTAGGGGTTGTTAAGGTATGAGTCAAGATTTGTTTTTTAGGTTTCATTTGAAGTGATGGCCGGTGGAAGAGTTTTTGCTTTGGAATGTGCATGGTTTATTAGTTTTGACATCTTGGCTTCTGTGATGTTATGGTGGTTCTTCTGCTCGAAGTTTTTGATGCTGTTCTAAAGGTTTTAGTACTTGATGTCTTGGAGCCAGGCATTTTGTTTGATGTTTCCCAGATAGTGAGTTATGGCCTTATGGGGATACTGATCATGATTGTCTTTGTTGAAGGAGTGAGTTGAGAGTGCTTTGGAGTCAGGCTTGTAGGGTGCACGTGGGATTGAGGTGGAATGGGGGTGTTGATTTCTGAGGTAATGCGTTGGTTGTGTAGTGTGCACATAGTGATGGCATCTCTCTTCTCGACACTGGTGCAAGCAT